CCCCCCCACCCCAAACATGAAGGCTGGTCGTCTTTACATGGAGACAGTTTCACACACACACCAGATGGTGCCTGAGCATAAATTAGAACCTGACTGATTTGCAAAAAGGCTTGGCGTAATGTCTGTGATTCCATCCCCTCCCCCTTAGGCCTTCTGCACCTCCCCACAAAAGAGAATTAACGTTTGTTGTTGAGGTGGGGGAGGGGAGTGACCCCCGCATGGAAATGGCAAATTTCTTGCAGTGCTTCTTGTGTCTGGGAAGCCCTTTAGGGGGCGCCCTTGGGACGAAGGTGATACCCCGCTCTTTTCTCTCTTTTTGGGAGCCCTGCCACCTGCCCCTCTCTTCCAAACGCTCATATTATTTGTGCCTCTTCTACCGCAGCTTGCAATTTTACAAGTGCCGCACAGTGTTCGTTCCACATTTGTGAGGATTTGATCTCCTAGTGTTGCAGGACTTGCGCTTGAGAGCTCCCTTCCTCTTGAATGGAAACTTAGAGTGCAGCTGGTGGTGCATTTCTGTTACGCAGCGCCTGCTTATGGTTTGTGCAACCATGTTCCAGAGGCACAAAACATTTTGCTAGCGGAACAAGGATTCTCCTAAGTGACTTTAGCTTAGAGCTGTGTTGGATACAGCCCTGCTCTCCAGAGCAGGTTTTTGAGGGGCAAAAGGAATGCAGGGAGGAAGAGAGATAAGGAATGCATGCTCTAGTTATCTCACGCTTGGACTACTGCAACACGCTCTACGTGGGGCTACCTTTGAAGGTGACCCGGAAACTGCAATTAATCCAGAATGCGGCAGCTAGACTGGTGACTGTGAGTGGCCGCCGGGACCATATAACACCGGTTCTGAGAGACCTGCATTGGCTCCCAGTACGTTTCCGAGCACGATTCAAAGTGTTGGTGCTGACCTTTAAAGCCCTAAACGGCCTCAGTCCAGTATACCTGAAGGAGCGTCTCCACCCCCATCATTCAGCCCGGACACTGAGATCCAGCGCCGAGGGCCTTCTGGTGGTTCCCTCACTGCGAGAAGCCAAGTTACAGGGAACCAGGCAGAGGGCCTTCTCGGTAGTGGCGCCCGCCCTGTGGAACGCCCTCCCATTAGATGTCAAAGAGATAAACAACTACCTGATATTCAGAAGACATCTTAAGGCAGCCCTGTTCAGGGAAGTTTTTAATATGTAACGCTGTACTGTTTTTAACACTGATTGGGAGCCGCCCAGAGTGGCTGGGGAAACTCAGCCAGATGGGCGGGGTATAAATAATAAATTATTATTATTATTGTTGTTGTTGTTGTTAATTATTATTATTATTATTATTAAATGTCCACCCCCATTCTGAAGTAGCATCCCACGAGCAGAACTCTGCTCACAGGACACTCCCAATGGAAGCTGAGTTAGGGTGCGGGCTGAAGTTGGGAGCTTCCCCATATACAACCCTCCAGACCTCCCTATCTGCCACTCACAACTGTCTTAGGCTGCGCTCCTTGGCAGCCCTGCCCCACCTCCTCGAGGGCTTTTGGAGACAACTGTGCATTTAAAGGTGAACCTACCTAACTTTTTTTCTTTGGGGGCACAGGTGGCGCTGTGGGTTAAACCACAGAGGCTAGGGCTTGCCGGTTAGAAGGTCGCCGGTTTGAATCCCTGCGATGGGGTGAGCTCCTGTTGCTCGGTCCCAGCTCCTGCCAACCTAGCAGTTCGAAAGCATGTCAAAGTGTAAGTAGATAAATAGGTACCGCTTTGGCGGAAAGGTAAATGACGTTTCCGTGCACTGCTCTGGTTCGCCAGAAGCGGCTTTGTCATGCTGGCCACATGACCCGGAAGCTGTACGCCGGCTCCCTCGGCCAGTAAAGCGAGATGAGCGCCGCAACCCCAGAGTCAGTCGCGACTGGACCTAATGGTCAGGGGTCTCTTTACCTTTACCTTTACCTAACTCCCACTTCTCCAAACAATATGCAAACCGAAACATAGCCATACTCCGACTTTTGAAGTGATGTTCTCTTGCCAAGTAATGTGCATAAAAACGCACCTGAATTCTAAGGTAAAATGCACAAACATGCATATATTAGTGAAAATAATATTCAGAAATGAATTACATTTGGAGGAAGTTATGTTGCCAAAATATGTATTTTAGAAGAACTTCTCACTAAAATGCTGATGGATTTTCATGTGGACTATATATATATATATATATGCGCGCAAACTGATATGAACATGCGGAGAACTGCACGTAAGATTAGAGAAAGTGAAATTGACAGATTCCTCCATCCCTCCATCTGTCCCTGAGTGAAGAAGAGGCTTAGGGACCTCCTGTCCCCAACCTCATCCCTCAGCCTCTAATGACCTTTCTTTCCTTCTTGTCTTCTTGGCAACTTAATCAGATATGTTGAATCTGTGGCAACGGGGAGAGCTTATGGCCAGTCCACCGAAATCACCCCATCAGCCAAACCTCTTGCTAACGTTTCCAAGGAAACATGGACTCTTGGCACATGGAAGAGGGGGTAGAATAAGCATCTGTTCGTCGGTCATTGTGGTTCTGGGCATTTGCAGAGCAGGAGAGAATGGACCAGCAGGCAGAAAGGTCCAAATTTTGGCCCCAGTGACAAGGAAGCATTTGTGGGGACAAATTGCCTCTTTTCATCCTACAGTGTGTAGCCAGGAAATGGCTGCAAAGGGGCATGTGCAGTGCCAGATCAGTGAGAGAACATCTGCTTGGCATGCAGAAGGTGCCAGGTTCAATTCCTAGCATCTCTAGGTAGGGCTGGGGAACAGTTATTTGCCCGAAACCCTGGGGAGCTGCTGCCAGTCGGTGTAGACCATACTGAGCCAGATGTTCTGAGGGCCAGACTCAGTATAAGGCAGCTTCCCCTGTGGGATAGCTCAGTTCGTAGAGCATGAGACCCTTAATTTCACATTGAGCAAAAAGGTTCCCGCATTGCAGGGGGTTGGGCTAGATGACCCACGAGGTCCCTTCCAACTCTACAATTTTGTGATTCTATGATTCTAAGTATGCTCATTTTAATCCAGTAGCAATTACGCTGTGACGTGAGTAGATTGAGCAAATTTAAAGGTGCAGCTTTCCTTGAGCTGCCACACTGGGGTCTGAGCAAGCTCAGCACCATTTAATTCTAGCTTCAGAATCTGCCTGCTCCTTGCAATCAGAATATAGGGAACGACACGGTGTGGATAAAGGGGCTCGGAGACCTTTGGGAGATCAAGTATTGGAAGGTCGCTTGTGATTTCTTGCAAAGCGTTTGATCACAGTTGTTCGAACCTCTTTGTTCTGAGCCTGATTTTTTTCAAAGCAAGCATGTCAGAGCTTGCAAAAAAGCAGAGCGGTTGTTGACTGGCCCACTCTTCCCATGCCTGGAAGTGGAAAATGTGTTTTTAAACATGCAATGGCTGGCAAGGAGGGCATAGTCTTGTTCACGCTTTCATCAATAGTCAAGTGTGGCGCTGATTTTTGTGAAGCTTGGTTTAATTATTCCTCCCACTGGGATGGAAGCAGTTGCAAAGCAGGCAGTTCCTTTCAGCCAGCTCAGGTAATGGAGTGTTTGAGAGCACAAGTGATGAGCTGAAAGCTTCCACTTCCAACCCCAGGCCAGCCATGAACCTGACTCCATGGCTCCTCTGATCACTGGACTCTCTCCACTGCTGTCTCTAGACTTCAATGCAATGGTTCCCAATTAGCTACGTACTTCGGACCTCCTCTTTTTCAAAAGCCAAGCCAAGGATCCCTCTGCTTTTGAAAGTTTTGATATTTCTATGGTAGTTTCTATTATGTGAATAGTTCCACAGACCCTCCCCCCTCCAGGTGGGTTACATGGACCCCAATGGGGAACCCCTGTACAGTGGGGGGGGGGAGAGAATCTGTGGGCCTCCAGATGTAGCTCCAGATGTTGTTCTCCATCTCTCATTGTCTCAAGCCATTGGCCATGCTGGCTGCTGAGGTTGATGTGAGCTAGGATCCGCTATGGAAGAATGTTGTGAGCTGGAAGCAATATATTGGTGAGCCTAATGTTATCACCCTTGCTGTAAAGGTTGTTGAGGCAATGTACGTGAAGTGTTTTGCACACTTAGGAACACAAAGGAAAGCCATGCGTGCCACTTTGAGCACCTTGGAGGAAAAGTGGGATACAAATGTCATACTGTGATCATGATTTTTAAATTGGGGGGGGGCCCTATCTGCCTCAATGCACACGTGATGCAACATCTGAATTGACTGTATATGTACTTTTATGTGTATATTAGGGGGTGTGTCCCTGCTTGCTCTGCTTGCCGCCACCCCCCATTCCTCCCAAAGCTTCCCCTTCTCACCCCATGCAACTACTGAGCTTGCTTTTCTTGACCTTTCGGGTTTCTCTTCATTCAAATCCAGGATTGCAATGCAGCACTAGAAATCCTCCAACGGGGGCTGTGCGACGACAGCCTTCCATTTCTATGTATATAGGAAGACATGCCTGATGCAGATGTCATGGTGTCTCGCTGTGCATATGTATGCTGCATGTGTACTCTGCTGCACTGTAGGCACATCCACCAGGTGCAAAACACAATCGTATGAATGGCCACTTTCCTATTTTTCCTCTGGGAATCTGCCCTTTCCCTTGGAGATTTTAAATGCTTGTGGCTCTTTAATGCAAGGCAGAGCTGAGCCGTGTGATTATCAGAGCTGGATAATGCCACCACCAATATCACCTCCTCATTCCCCCCTCCCCCTAGCCTTTAACATAATCCATATGGTACTTCCCGACTGGGTTGCAGGTTTCCATCCCAGGCAACAATCCTCTACATTTTCTCCAGTCCTGCCAGAGCCAAAAGAGGGAGGAGCTGTAGTGAAATTCCCACTAAGCAGCCTTAGCCTTTCATTACATCCTCTTCAGACACATCAGGATTAACCTAGATATGGCTGGCCAAAGGAGGGAGGGAGGGAGAAAGGGCTGGGGGATTTCTAGGTTCGTTGCTGGAAAGCGCTAATCCCGATGGCCTTGCTGGGTTTCCCCACAGCACGCTGACGATCTACAGCATCGGCCAGGCAGACGAGGCCATCTACCAGTGCATTGCGGAGAACAGTGCTGGCTCCACCCAAGCCAGCGCCAGGCTGACGGTGCTGTGGGCCGACGGGCTGCCCGGCCCGCCCCAGAAGGTGCGAGCCACAACCGTCTCGGCCACCACCATCCAAGTGCTGTGGAGTGAGCCTCTGCAGAACACCAAGGAGATCATTGGCTACGTCCTACACATCAGGAGAGCAGCAGGTGAGGTGGCAACAGTCCATTGGGCATTGATACGAGTGCTGTGCTGAAAATTTTTCCCGCAATGTCCTGTCATGGCAGGGGTGGTTGTGAGGGGGCAGGGAGCTGTATAGTGCCACCACAGGCCCAACCTTGGTGAGTTGCTCAGTGGGAGTGGGAAGGGGAAGGACACTGGTGATCACCACCAATGAGGAATTATAGGCAGGAGTGGTGGCAATGAGCTCAGAAGTGGCCACAAGGCTTGTTCTTTCAGTCTTTAGGGTAAAGGTGGTCTCTGTGGCACTGGGCAGCTGCGTAATTTGGGGGCCTATGAGGGCCATCCTGATTGGTGGAAAGTGTGAGGCTCAGCCTCTGGAGTTACTGCTCTCTTGTAGGCCACACCTTCCCCCCAGCTGTCGGGACCTCCAGGATGGAACAATAGGCAAAGAGATGCTCTTTGGAATTGCTCCTCCTTGGAAGCTGCCTTCAAAAATTGTCAAAGGGGAGGTAAAATGTCGGTGAAATTCTCACGGGGCAGGATGCAGGGCTGTGGTTTTGTTTTGTTTAATATTTGCATGTCTCTTTTCCAACAACAATATTGAGTTCAATGCAGCTCACAGTTGTAGCAATAGTGTTAAAAATGTGACGTAATCGTTAGAGTGTAGGACTGTGACCTGGGAGAGCAGGGTTCAAATCTCCTCTTGTCCATTAAGCTCACTGCGTGACTTGGGCCAGTCGCTGCCTCTCAGCCTAACCTTCCTCACAGGGTTGTTGTGGGGATTGGATGAGGAGGGGGAGAACCATGCATGCCACTGCAAGCTCCTTGGAGAAAAAGGTGGGATATAAATGCAATAATTATAATAAAAAATAATCAATGTAATCATACTGGGTTGCCAGTGCCAGTGCTCCTCAGAGGAGACCCATTAAATCCCCACAGCAACTCTATGAAATAGGTTAGGCCTGGGAGTTGGGTGACTGGTTTAAGGTCACCCATTTACATTTCAGGGGCATGTGTGCATTGTTCTATTTATTACATTTATATCCTGCCTTTCCCCCAAAGAGGTGGCACAAATGGTTCTCTTCCTCCTCCTCCTCCTCCTCCTCCTAATAACCCTGTTAAGTAGGATGGGTTTGCAAGTGACTGATTGACCCAGGGTCACCCAGTGAGCTTCATGGCTGAGTGAGGATTCGAACCCCGATCTCCCAGGTCCTACTCTGACACTCTAACCACTGAACACTGGCTCTCCTGTGCCTATCTTATTTTTATCACGCTGGCATCATGTGTAAGCTGACATTGCTAAGGGTGGGAAGTGGGGCGAGAGAGCGAGAAAGGAAATAAAGTAAATAAATAAATACCCATGATTGTAGTGTAGACATGCTCTGACATCTAGTGGCGAGGTCCAGCACCCCACAGCCTATGACACAGTGACTCCCTCCAAGCAGAAGACAACAGTCCAGCATTCTGGGAGCTCAGATGGAGACTTTCCCTCCACGACTAGCTTCCCAGATCTTGAGTTTCACCCTGGCACCAGGCGACCTTCCTGGATCGCTTGTCTCCTGGGAAGAGACTAGGTCTGTGGCTTGGAACCGCCAGGATGCCTTGTTTGGTGACGCAGGAAGCAAGGGAGCAGAGCCAAGCTCCTGACGGTGAACAGAGTGGCATCAGGCACACCTCTGCCATTGTGCCACATCCTGGGGCTGGCAAACTACAACTGGAACATGGCCTCACTCTCTGTAGCTAGATTTTTGAGAGCTGCGAACAGTACCAGATGGAGAGGAGGGTGCTCTTATGCTCGGGATCTGGACGGCTGGACGGCAGGAGGAAATCCAGATGGATTTCAGAGATGTCAAAAAGGCAGTCTGCCCTGAAGGAAAGTCGCTGGGAATCACAAGTCTTGCTTTCCCAATATCTGAAATAGAAATCATGCTTGCTTTGATCAGTGGATAGAATAAGAGTCTTGCAACAGATTGCAACAGATTGCTTTTAGAAGCTGACCGTGCTTTATTGACAGCTGCACGAATTATGATAGCTAGGTAGGAAGTGGAAGGGGCAAGCAGACTATAAAATGGAAGAACGGTATAAAGAGTTGTGGGATACAGCTATTAATGATAAATTAACATGTGCCATTAAGGCAAGACGGGGAATATGCAGGAGAAATGATTTTGAGGAGATATGGAGGGTGTTTGTAGAATATGTACTGTTAAAACGGAAAGTGGTCAAACCATCGCAAGAGGTGTTGAAATTTTGGGAGGTTGGGTAGTTGCAATGGAACGGTCTCGGTGGTGGGGTGCACATTTTTATTCTTATTTATTTATGATTATTACTTTGTCAAAATAAAATAAAATTAAAAGAAGAAGCTGATGGATAAATATGCATGGATAAATATCATGATATTTGGAATGCATTTATAAAAATTATAAGGTAAAGGTAAAGGTACCCCTGCCCTTACGGGCCAGTCTTGACAGACTCTAGGTTGTACGTCCTTCTCACTCAAGGGGGCCAGTCTGTCGAGACACTTTGTCACTGGCCGTGACATCACTCCTGGGACCGGCGTAACGAACCGTTACTTCGCTAGTAAGCGGCCCTTTATCTACTTCACCGGGGGGCTGAACTCTAGTATGGGATGAGACGAGCGACCCACGGGATCAACCGCGCCTTCGCAGCCCAGCGCTGAGCTTTACCCACGTCCCCGCGTCCTATAAAATAAGGGCGTGTTTGTATCAATAAAATTCATTATAATATGATTCAGTTCAACACATTTATTCTTTCACTTTATTTTGTCCACTGAATTCTTCAATAAAATATAAGTATGTACAAAAGTCTTGCATGCTGGCTTCCCAGAGGCATCTGGTTGGTCACTGTGAGAACAGGATGCTGATCTAGATCCTGCTTGGCCTGATCCTGCAGGCTCCGCTTATGTTCTTACGCCTTCCCCTTGCATTTCAGACCCTGTGGAGATGGAGTACCAGGAAGCCGTCAGCAAAAATACATTCCAGCAGCTTGTGACTGACTTGGAGCCCTCCATGAGCTACAGCTTCTACATAAAGGCTTATACCTCTCGGGGGGCAAGCAAGGCCTCTGACGTCGTGGTGGTGAGCACGCTAGGAGAAGGTAAGGATGAATAAAAGGGCCAAAGAGAAATGGAAGTTCAAGCTCATCATCCTGCTAGGCTGCAGAAGGGAACTCAGATCAGTGGCAGAGGACCCAGTTTGCATTTGGAAGGTCCCAGGTCCAACCCAAGACACCTCTCGATAAAAGCCTCTTATGAGCAAGACCAGGAAAACCCCTTGCCTGAGCTCTCAGGGATCTCAGAGAGCCAGTGTGGTGTAGTGGTTAAGAGTGGTAGTCTCATAATCTGGTGAACCGGGTTCGCGTCTCCGCTCCTCCACATGCAGCTGCTGGGTGACCTTGGGCCAGTCACACTTCTCTGAAGTCTCTCAGCCCCACTCACCTCACAGAGTGTTTGTTGTGGGGGAGGAAAGAAAAGGAGATTGTTAGCCGCTTTGAGAATCCTTAGGGTAGTGATAAAGAGGGATATCAAACCCAAACTCCTCTTCTTCTTCTCCTGCAAGTCAGAGCAGACAGCATTTAGCAAGATGCGTCAATGGTCTGATTGGGTATAAAGCATCTTCATGTGTGACTAGCTCGTCCCATGGTTCAATTTATTTCCATTGCCTATCAATTTCACACCCCAAATTCATGTCAATTTCTGATGTGTTTATTATTCATACCCCTTTTCTAAAGTAATCTGCTAATTTTTGTTTAAGTGGCCCAAGTTTTTTTATTAATAGCAACATACAATCTATTATATTGTAGACAGCCAGTGCAATGTCGTGGTTAGTGTGTTGGACAAGGACCTGGGAATCCAAGACTCCTATCCCCACTTTGTGTGTCTCAGTCCAACCTACTTCACAGGGTTGTTGTGGGGATTAAATGAGGAGGGGGAGAACCATGTATGCCACCTTGGAGAACAAGAAAAAGGCGTGATATAAATGCAGTGCAGTAAATCATAAATAACTAGATAATTACAGTACATTTCTCACCTGCCCATCAAACTCCTCATGGCTCCTGCTCCCGATACCTGCACAGCCGGTAACTTGCTCCTGTGAAGCGCAGCTGTATGTGTAGTCTTTACGGATGTTGCACTGAACACACAGGAGGTTCAGTGGCATAGCCAGAGCCTGCAGGTGCAATCTGGTACCCGCTGTGTGCTACCTAGGGCCTTCGTGAAAAGGGCTACACTCACCTGCTGAACACGTGGAAGGGTGAGGTGCTCTCCAGGGTGCTGAAACAGGGTGCAAAGCAGACACTGTGCTGCTGAACTACAGCCCTTCTCTTACTTGGAACTTCAGAAATTATTGTCTCCTTTATTACCACCAGCACAAGTTTCTTCCTTTGCAACCTTAACAACTAGAAATTTGTTTGCTGGTTGTTGTCTGCTTTTAAATGACAGCAGGGGATCACAGATTGGTGGCTGCTGTATCTGATGCCAGGTTCTGAGGCTACATGGAATTACAAAGCATGCAGATTCACTAGTGAACTCAGAAGGCAGGAGTTAGCAACCCATGTGTCAACAAGGAGCAGAGCAGAGCGCCCCAAATGGCTCGAGCAAGTGAACCAAGTTGCATGAGCCATCACAAGGAGAGACATACATGCAACCAAAATGGCTAGGATTTCTGCAGGAAGTCTGCCTGGGTCTTTCCATCATAGGTCACGGATGCCAGTAGGATGCAAAATAGCTGCCACATTGTTAAGCCACTGTAGCAGCAGCTTGTGACATTTTTGTTGTTTCCTTTTTCAATTATTTTGGCATTTCAGTCATGCCACACAGCCCCCAAAGGAGCCCTCGGCTTACAATATATGATCCAAACATACACAAAGACAACAATAAACCTGCAGTACAACAAGACCTCGTAAAACCAAAGTACTAAAAATTCCTATAATGGCATAAAAGCCAACAGAGCTTGACCTTCTTTGTAATGCAAGGGTTGCACAGAAGCCCTGCCAGCTGTGGATGACTTGAGCAAAGGGCCCACAAAACCCCTGAGATGGTTGGCACCCAGCAATGGCCCCATCTTTCCAGATCCCTTCGCTCACCATTCTAGGATAGAACAACCCATTAACCTGGCCTCCTCCTTTTTCAAGCGGAGAGATTGACAAGGCTTAAAACCTTTAAAAACCTTGACCTAAAACCTTGCAGTTCAAGGCAGTAGCTTTCTGCCTCATAAAGTTCATGTTTTTCTGGAGCTTTGAGAAGTCAGGGCACTGCCTTTCCTGTGAGTTAAGGGCTGCAGGTCTTGTCGCACGCTCATAAATTACACATACCTCTTCAATGCTCGACATCATCCCACCACACAAAGCTCTAAAGTGTGTGTGGGTGTGTTTTGAAAAACAACAACTTTGCTTCCATGGAACAAAAGTTTAGACCTTAAGCTCCATCTCCCGTCATGGATGAGCAGGTGCTGTTAATTATTAGCTCAGCCCCTCTGTCCCCGTTTAATTTACAGGTCAGTCTCCTTGCTGGATCTGCCCCTGTGTTTAGAAAACCCCTTTGAGCTCCATAGTGTGTCCAGAACACCGTTTTGACAGCCGCTCCCCACATTTGAAGGGACGCTGGTGGCACTGTGGGTTAAACCACAGAGCCTAGGACTTGCCGATCAGAAGGTCGGCGGTTCGAATCCCCATGACAGGGTGAGCTCCCGTTGCTCAGTCCCTGCTCCTGCCAACCTAGCAGTTCGAAAGCACGTCAAAGTGCAAGTAGATAAATAGGTACAGCTATGGCGGGAAGGTAAACAGCGTTTCCGTGCGCTGCTCTGGTTCGCCAGAAGTGGCTTAGTCATGCTGGCCACATGACCCGGAAGCTGTACACCGGCTCCCTCAGCTAGTAAAGCGAGATGGGCGCCGCAACCCAAGAGTCGGTCACGACTGGACCTAATGGTCAGGGGTCCCTTTACCTTTACCTTTACCCCACATTTGAGGGTCACTGGTTCAGAATAAACCATGGCTGACTACGGTAAGAAACATCACAAGGCCAGTGGTTGATTTATGTAAAAGGTAAAGGTAAAGGTACCCCTGCCCGTACGGGCCAGTCTTGACAGACTCTAGGGTTGTGCGCCCATCTCACTCAAGAGGCCGGGGGCCAGCGCTGTCCGGAGACACTTCCGGGTCACGTGGCCAGCGTGACATTGCTGCTCTGGCGAGCCAGAGCCGCACACGGAAACGCCATTTACCTTCCCACTAGTAAGCGGTCCCTATTTATCTACTTGCACCCGGAGGTGCTTTCGAACTGCTAGGTTGGCAGGCGCTGGGACAAGCAACGGGAGCGCACCCCGCCGCGGGGATTCGAACCGCCGACCTTTCGATCAGCAAGCCCTAGGCGCTGAGGCTTTTACCCACAGCGCCACCCGCTGTGATTTATGTAGCCTTCTTCAAACTGGTACCCTCCAGATTTTTGAAGTACAACTCCCATCAGCCTCAGCCTTCATCTTTTTTAAAACCAAAGCACGAGGGGCTTTGAGAATGGCTCGTCCGGCTTATAAGGAATCCAAGGGAAGGGAACCAAAGGGGTAAGAAAAGGAGTCAAAGGGCAGAACCAACCATATCTCTTTCTGTGGCTTTGTTCCAGTGCCAGCCATGCCTTCACTCTTCATCAAAGTCCTCAACAGCACCACCATCCAGGCCACGTGGGAGCCCTCCATCAAACTGGGCCAGCACGAAGGGTTCAAGCTCTACTACCGCAAAGTCCACCTTCCCCACTTTACTGGGCCCATGTTCTTGGCCAGCAACATCACATCCTGCAACATTACTCAGCTCGGTGAGCGTCATTTCCATTATTACAATTATTCGTTAAATTTATGTACCGCCCTTTGTCAAAAGGCTACAAGGTGGTATGTGACATAGAACGAAAATGTCAATATGTAGCATAATAGCTGTGCAAAGCAAACGTCAAAACAGTTAAATACGTAATCAAGAATACGTAACAGAATACAGATTCTCATAAAATACAGAGGGAGTGTGATAACATAAAAGACACAAGGGGTCAAGCAACTAGTCCCTAGCGCTGCTGAGAAAATGTTAGAACCCTGCGCCTCAGGGTTCATTGGGGAAGGAGGGAAGGATAGAATATAAATTTAATTAATAGATTAAACGAAGGCCCGCTGGAGTTGTCAAACCCACCTCTTCCTTCTCCACTCCTGTCAGTATTGCGTTCTCCAGTTCCCTGTTCCTCACCACCATTCAGGGCTCCAACATCTGACTTGCCTTCCTTAGAGAGGACTCTTTCTTTTTGCACCGCCAGTAATAAAATTTTATTAAGACTTTTCATAATACAATAAAAAAACTAATCTAAACAAAAAATAATAAACCAAAGAAGGAAAGAAAGAGAAGGGAAAGGATAAAAGAATGCAAAGTCCTGTCTCACAGATGTATATTAAGTTTTGTCCCGTACGGAAAAGGATGTACCCTCCCAGCTCTCACCTGGGAGCATCTTAGATGCTCACAGGTGGTCCTCCCAGCCTCTCTATCTAGCCTTTGGGACTCTCCCCAGACCACATCCCTCTCCCCATTCTGCACCAGCCCTGCTTCACATCCTCCTTGAGCATTTTTGAGCTCCTGCTTCACTGGACGGAAGCTTGAGGGGGCGCTTACGAGCGTTTGTAGAAACCAGCCTCCTGTACCAAAGGTAACATTTACATCTGGTACCCTGTCCACTTTTGCCTCTGGACCAGCCTATTGCTGGTATGTGGCCCTTGGAATGCTGCCAAAGTGGGAAGGTGGCCCTCTGGCTGTAAAAAGGCTCCCCCAACCTGCTTTTAATGTAATAATAATTTATTACGTATACCCCGCCCATCTGGCTGAGTTTCCCCAGCCACTCTGGGTGGCTTCCAACAAGAGATTAAAAATACATTAGAACATCAGTCATTAAAAACTTCCCTAAACAGGGCTGCCTTCAGATGTCTTCTAAACGTCAGATACTTGTTTATTTTCTTGACATCTGATGGGAGGGCGTTCTACAGGGTAGGTACCACTACCGAGAAGATCCTCTGCCTGGTTCCCTGTAGCTTCACTTCTCGCAGTGAGGGAACCGCCAGAAGGCCCTCGGAGCTGGATCTCTGTGTCTGGGCTGAATGATGGGGGTGGAGACAATCCTTCAGGTATACTGGGCCGAGGCAGTTTAGGGCTTTAAAGGTCAGCACCAACACTTTGAATTGTGCTCAGAAATATACTGGGAACCAATGTCTCGGCGGCCGCTCCCAGTCACCAGTCTAGCTGGTGCACAGCAAGCGAGCACAGCAGGTCTAACCACATTTAGGCACAGGTCGACATCTCTTCTTTCCTTTTCCTCCCAGACCCATCAGTAGTCTACGAAGTCAAGCTCCTCGCCTACAACCAGCATGGTGATGGGAATGCCACTGTTCGCTTTGTGTCCCTTCGAGAGACTGTCGAAAGAACAGGTGAGTGGGCAAGCGGCCCTGCACAGCCTTGAGGGAGATGGTCTTTGAAGACAGTTGGGGAGGCTCTGGCTGAGGGGGAGGGTTGGTGAGAAAAGAAAGTTGTTTTACAGAGAGACACACAGAGAGGGAGATCAGTATCTTGAAAGTTTCCCCACTGCTGCTCTGATGCAAGTTATCAAGCTTGAAGTTTGCGAGCCACTTTGAGTTACGTTTGAAGAAGAAGAAAATGCTAATAGGTTTAATTAGTAATAATAAAATAAATAAATAATAGATGTTTAGATGTTTTACCCAAACAGGAGCATCCAAATTCCCCTCTAAATCTTGCTTTAGGTAAAACTCTGTGGCTGTGTTCAAGCGCTGCTTTTGTTTTGGGACACATCTTCTAAAAGTATTTTATGTTTGAGAACCATCTTACTTATCCTTCTAGGGACAACGTCCCCTTGTGATCAGGTTCCTGTTTGCTGTTTTTCTTTTTTCTTTTTACAGTAAATGTTAATCTCAGCTGGAAATTGCAGCGGATCCTTGACAAAGCTTTCTTTCTTTCTTTCTTTCTTTCTTTCTTTCTTTCTTTCTTTCTTTCTTTCTGGTCTGGAATTGGTTTAGCAACACCATTAGTCATGCCGTTACAACGAAGTGGGAGGGGGACCTTGCTGGAGTTGAAAGTGAGAGCCGGTTTCCCTTTCATCTATACCTTACTGACAGCGGCAGGAAAGAGAATGCGGAGTTTGCAAATCACTAGGTGGAGGAGAAGGCTCTATAACAGCAGGCTATCCTTCCTTCCTCCGCTCTCCTGCCCCATGGAGTGATACCTTTTCACCAGAGTGCTGCAGCTATTGCTAACCTGGTGCCCTCCAGATGTTGTGGACTACAGCTCCCATCAGCAGACCCATTGGTTGCCAGGCAGCTTGGCTGGAGCGTTCTCCATTGAGCCACTTTGCATTGTGAAAAAACAAAGGGCCCAAATGGCTGGGGCCTAGCCTTTTGCAGGTGCTCTACCAGTGAACTATGGCCCCCTTCATTCTATGCAAGCTGCCAAACGCTGGACCCCATCTTCACCTCCTACCCACTGATAGGAGCCTGACTTTTCCTGGCTGTGTTTAAACTTCTCCTGGGCAGTTAATCACCTCCCTACTCACCAGTTTTGCTCCTCTTTGTGTCCCTGACTGTTCCCTTTCCCTTCCCACACCTTGCATGTTTCTTGCTTTCTCTCTCTCTCTCTCTCTCTCTCTCTCTCTCTCTCTCACCCCTGTGTGAACTGCCTCAACTCATTTCTCCATCCTATGTTTTTGTCCTGCTCCTGGGTTCAAAGCCTTTCCCTGACCAGCTCTCTGCAAGAGACCCAACCCAGATCCCACCCCCCTCACTCTGCAGCGTGGCTGTTGCAAAAGATGGGGTCCAGCGTTTGGCAGCTTGCATAGAATGAAGGGGGCCATAGTTCACTGGTAGAGCACCTGCATTGCATGCAGAAGGTCCCTGGTTCCATCCCCAAGGTAGGGCTGGGAAAGACTCCAGCCTGAATCTCTGGAGAGCTCTTGCTGGTCACTACTGAGCTTGATGGATCTCTGGTTGGACTCAGTATAATGCAGCTTCCTATTTAATTCAGGGTTGTTGTTTTTTAATAGAACTGTAAGGATTAGCATCTTAATTTATTTTTAGGGGGAAGGGCTTTAACTCAGCGGTAGAGCATCTCCTTTGCGTGCAGAAGGTCCCTGATTCAATCTCCAATGACTAGGAGACACACTTTCTCTCTGAAACCCAGAGGGCCACCACCAGCCAGCCTAGACAGTCCTGTACTGACAACTTTCCATGCCTAATGGAGCCCTGCCTCCCATTTATACCTTTCCTTTTCATCCCAGGGCTGAACCCACCATGCAACTGCATGAAGGATGGGCAAACCAATAAGACGTCGGCCACTGGGATAATCATTGGGATCCACATTGGAGTCACCTGCATCATCTTCTGTGTCCTCTTCCTCATGTTTGGGTACCGAGGAAGGTATGGCTCTCTCTCCACTGACTGCGTTTGGAGTGGGTGGACTGCTTTCATGTTCCAGAACAGCAGGACAAGCACTCTTTAAGCCAACCTCCCCCAGTCCAGTGCCCTCTAGAGATTGTTGGACTACAACTCCCATCAGCCCTAGCCAGTACGTCTGGTGGTCAGGGATGATGGGAGTTGTGGTCCAAAACATCTGCAGGGCTCTTGATGGGAGATGGATGCCTAAGGCATAGAATATACTGCCTTGGGAGTCTCACAACGTTTCTAATGAAATTCCCAGGTCCCCACATACTATAAACCACCTGGGGCGGTTTGCATGTTTGGGTTGCCCCACTAAGCTTTGCAGTGAGGGAGTTTGGAAGGAGAACTCGGAACCTGAGGTCGGGGTGGAGGCAGAGAGATAAAACATAGGTCTGCAACACCCATCATCACTTCTTTGTTATTACTAATATTTTATTAAAAGAATTTCAGTTATAGAAAAGAAAAAAAGAGGGAGAAGAAAAGTGCAAAAAATACAGTAAGAAAGATATAATATGATACAGTAACTACAATCTGTTACATTTCCATACATTATTATTTAGAGTAATATTATTGTTCTAATACATAAATGGTTATTAATAACCTCCAATGTTCTGTATAGACACCTTCCAAATGTCAATATATTTATCCAAACAAAGTCTACATCTATAAGCATCCCGTTCATATGAAGTCCATAGCACTCTGCTAGAACCATGTTGTGTGTAGGGAGACGACGAAACTCAGATTTGGAAGGTCTGTAGCTCAGGGCTAGAGGACATCTCTTACTTGTTTATGATCTCCCTGGGCTTTCCAAGCAGGGCTGAGAAATTCTTTTGCCTGAAACCCCGAAGACTCTTACCTGGAGGCACAATGAACTGATCCTGGGAGTTGTTGCATGTGAAACAGGCACTCTACCCTTCTCGTGGACTTCTTGTTCATATGATGGTACATTGCTAGAGAGGGTTTTATTGTTCTTCTTTGGCTTATTTCCACAGGCTGCTGGTGTGCAAAGATGTCCAGGAGCAGCTGTCAACCCCACAGGTCCCAAGAAGCCAGAGGAATGCTGCAGGCCTGACCTCGAACGGATCTGCTCAGAGGGACAGGGACAACCCAGACGCAAACGGGAAGCAGCTGGATTTGAATGAACTGGAAAGGCTCTTTCCAGCCTCGCCTCCTCCACCTGATCAACACAACAAGGAGATTGTGGTAAGGAAGGGATACTGGGGGCTTTTGTTTGTTTGCCACACTTTCAGACAGCAGTGGTGAACCTCGGGGCTAGGGAGGAAATGCGGCCCTCCACACCTTTTAGCCTGGCCCTTGGAACCCTCTCAGGGCTCCACACCCCGCCAGCCCTGCTTTGCACCCTCCTTGAATGTCTTGGTCTGGCTGAGATGTGTCCTTGACCTCTTTTTTGCCTGGAGGATAGAGAGAGGCGTGTGTAGAAAAGCGAGGCTGCTGTACCAAGGTAAAATTGGCACACTGTGCTCCGCCCACTTTTACCTCTGGCCCCGCCCACCACAGGCATGTGTCTCTCTGGGATTTTAGTCGGGGGCACTTCCTGTAGAGGCCAGAGATGGAATGTGAGGCCTTCTGCGTGCAGAACAGGTGCCCTACCACTGAGCCACAGCCTTTCATAATGTCCATTAGTTTCATAGGAAGCTACAGTCTAGCTCAGTAATGCCTACACGGACTGGCAGCAACTTTCCAGACTTCCAGCCAAGTGACTCTCCCAGTCCTACCAGGAGATGCTGGGGATTAAACCTGAGACCTTCCGCATGTAAAACATGTACAGTGGTACCTCGGGTTACAGGCGCTTCAGGTTACGTACGCTTCAGGTTACAGACTCCGCTAACCCAGAAATAGTACCTCGGGTTAAGAACTTTGCTACAGGATGAGAACAGAAATCGCGCGGCGGCAGCAGGAGGCCCCATTAGCTAAAGTGGTGCTTCAGGTTAAGAACAGTTTCAGGTTAAGAACGGACCTCCGGAATGAATTAAGTACTTAACCTGAGGTACCACTGTATTCTATCACAAAGCCATGCCCCTTGATGATTTCCATTTGTTCTGGGATAGGCAACTCCTGCTATTATTATTATTATTATTATTATTATTATTATTATTATTACTACTACTACTATCTTAAGAGGACAGTCAGTCGTCTCCTTGGGCATTCAAATAGCCATTTTTTCACTCTCCTTTCCCAGCTGGACCATATTCCTCCTACCTCACACGACGAAACCCAGACATCCATGCTTCCGCCGGATGACTTCAGCATCATCGAAGAGGAGAGCGACACCCTCTTCCAGCCCCCGCCCTCGGGGGCCCCCGGCAGGCCCCCCCTCAACGCCAGCCAAGATGAGCCAGCTTTGAACCAAGCTCCAACCAATGAAGGATAATTGCCAAGACTTTGAAGACTCTTAATGGGACCTCGCCAGCCACCAACTCCCCCCCCCCAACCCTACCCCTGGCGATGTCTTTAAACCGACTCATCAATCTCAGGTCAATTTTAAGATTTCTGCGATATGTTTCTTAATTTTTTTATTACATATATATATATAAATATATATATATCTATATCGGTAGGCAGCCTTGCGGAAGCTCCATGAAGTTTTTTCTTCCTGACTTGTCTCAGGCCTCCTAGTACATTCCTTTCCAGCTGTTCACTCTACAGCTGCTGCGTTTGTGGCTTCTCAAGGCGCCTTCCTTGGCCAACTCCATAAGACACCGAGATGGGAACCTCTTATCGTCTTGGTTCACCAACGTTCAGTCCCTCGTTGGCAGCTTTAGGATGACTCTTCTCCCACAGATCTGCCATTGTGAAATGTGTTAAGAATGGGGCCCTCCTCTCTAACACAGCTCCGGGAGAGGGGGGGAAAACGTTCAGGTGCTAAGTTGGTTGGCCAAACTTCTCGGTGCATTTGACGACATTTTTTGTCGGATGTGTTTCAAGTCTCTCTGTCTCTAATTCTCAGGATGTTTTGTTGCCGACGAACTATTTTAAAGGCAAAGCGAGTGTGTCAAAAAGAAAAAGGAGAAAATAAAAAAAACCCAGGCCTACAAGAAGGTCTACTGAAAAAAAAGAAAGAAAATGAAAATACTTGGACTAACATCTCGAGTAAATCCAGAACCTACCTCAACCGGAATTGAATGTCTTTTAGGAAGAAGCAAAGTATCTTGTGTCTTCCTTTTGTTTTCAGAACAAAGTAGAGTAGCACTTGGTCAGTACAAGCTGTGGTACTACCTCAGAAGTTCATACTCCATGTCTACCATGTTGGTTGTTGGTTACCTTTTTATTATTTTTTATTTTAAAGTATTCCTTTATTGTCACCATCGTTCCAATGTAAAGCACTTCCAAAACCTTGAAAGCAATGTTCTACCTCAAGAAGCTTTTTTGTAGAAGAACCATGTTGTTGTGTCGTCAGACCACCTCGCCCTCCTTCGCCTCTCTTCCTTCGCTCGGCCCCGAGACTCCAAAAGAGGAATGACGATGAGCAGGCATGGATTCGTCCCCAGTAGTGGTTGTCGATGACATCCCCCCCCCCCTTAGTGTTATAAACTTGACTTTTAGGCAAGTTGCTAGTTAACTTGTGTAGAGGTTTACTGTGTCAAGAGTTGTTTTTATATCATGTTTGTTTGGTTGTTGTTTTTTTAAAAGGAACTTTAAAGATTGTTAGGGTTGTAGCAAAAAAAAAAAAGGCAGGGCCACCGGTCACCTAAAGATGAAACTTTTGCCCGTAAGCGACTACTTAACTACTGGTCACGGGTTACTACTGAAGAGCTGCTCTCTTTCCAGTTTTATCACTCAGAGCTGGTTCACCACATCTGTGCATACTTGATGACCAGAACATCAAGTGAGGATTGAAAACATCACGTGATGATTGCATGTGCAAATGATTTCATCACAGAGAGAACAGTCCTATCACTTTGTACATAAGGCTGTTCAGTGGAATCCACATTCTCAATGTCCAGTTCTTGCCTTATGCAGAGTACGGCCAGTGATCCATCTAGCCCAGTATTTCTCAACTGACTGGCAGTGGTCAGTCCAGACAGAGGTCACTCCCAGACCTACCGGGGGATGCCAGGGATTAAACCTGGAACCTTCTGCATGCAAAGCAGATGCTCCACCACTGAGCCATGACCCTTTTCCTTGTCTTGGAGCAACTCCTCAGGGACTCAGGTGGAGAAGAGTCTTTCTCCTGGTACCAGAGATCCTTCATGGTGGGAGATTGGATGTGGGGCTGAACGTGGGGCTTCCTGCATGCGTAACAAGGGCTCTGCAACTGAACGAAGGGCCTGTAAAATATAGGAATAGAAGGAACTACCTTATACCAAGTCAGACCATTGGTCCGTCTTGCTCAGCTTGGTCAACACTGACTGGCAGCAGTTCTCTGGGGTTTGACACAGATGTTTTCCAAGCCTACCTGGAAAGGCCTGGGATTGAACCTGGGACCTTCTGCATGCAAGGCAAGTGCTCTGCCACTGAACTATGGCCCTCCCCATACATGCTTGGGATGAGCTGTAGTTTCTCCCTTCTGTAAGCCATCAAGCCAAGCCCACTCTGTCCTGTCTGGCAGCATCTCCTGGAGATTGCAGGCAGAGAGGAGCCCTCCGGTTTGAGATATTTTTAACTGCAGGTGCTAGAATTTGAGCAGGAGACTATATACATGCAAAGCTTTAGCGCTGAGCATTTCTCACCCAAAATGTGGAGTGCCGCACAGGTGCGTGTGTGTGTCAATTTTTTTTTGGAGGGTGGGGGACAGAATTGAGGTGGTTCCAATCTGCTTGGCCACTGTAAGAACAGGATGCTGGACTAGATGGGTCGTTGGCCTGATGCAGCAGGCTTGTTCTTCGTTCCAGTTTTAGCACACATGCTGTCAAAAGTGTGTGTCCATGTGAACCAGACCTGTTTGCTAAAAGGTGGACATCTTCTGCCAAGCCTCAAAGCACTTGATGCTGCTGGCTGAGCTTCTCAGCAGCCAGCTTCTCTCCTTGTGGAGATGTCTTCTCCGAATCTGGCGGTTGCTCTTTAGGTCACCGGTGGTGGCACAGCTGGTTATAGACCTCATATCTGAAGCCTTAGAATGTAGCGTGTTTTCTCTCTAGGCTGGTGACCTACCTCAGTACAAGTAGTCGAAGCAGCCATAAGGTTATGGAAGAAAGGATGAGGAGCCCCTCTGATGTGACCGTTGTCAGGAGGAGAAAGGAAGGGGAAAGATCTCCCCCTCCCCTAAGTCCATTGAGATGGGCGGAAGGACTCTGAAATGCCTGTGGGGCTCCTTTGGGCTGTGGGAGCTCCCTGCATCTCTCTTCCACGGAAGGAGCAAACGATGTGTGCAGGAACCCTGTGGACTGCCTCCTTATCCTCCAGAGAAGCCACTTCCATTTTCATGTTTCGTTTCATTTTTTAAAAATAATTCCAATAGCTATTTTTATATATGGCGATGAAAAGAAGAATAAAAAAAAAGGTTCTTTTGAAAATAATAATGATTTGTTTGAAGGAGAAGCAGAAGAAATCAAAGAGGGCCGTGTGGTGATGAGGGGGAGGAAACCAGCTAACGGTAACAATGGGTATTTAAGGTCTTTTAAAATAAGCTGATTAAAACAAGACAAAACCCCCAAATTCTCCATTAGGAGTACCAGCACTAGGGGATCAGCTGGCAACTCCCTCACTGCCCCCTACTTCCCATCCATCAACTGTTTTGCTTATGTACATTAAAAAGTGTAAATATCACCGGACGAGGACAGCAGAAGCGTCAACTGTCTGTGAATAAGTCTGTTGCTTTTGTGAGTGGTTTATTCAGAACTGGGCAACAGGAGAGGAGGGCAAACCACTGCAGCGGTGGCAGGGTGCAGTAAGAGAGAGAGAGACTAGTGAGTGGAGAAAAGGGTGTCACTCCTCTTTCAAAAACAGGCTGGCCCGTCTAGCCTCAAGCAAGCGTTTCACCCTCACAAAAAGTAGAGATTGGTGGGTGTCGTTGTCAGAGAATATCTGCAGGGCACTGTTGTTGGCTATCCCTGATCCACCCAATAAATACATATCTAGCACCAACTCTGGTTCTTTCTCAGGGATCCAAGGATCATAGGAAGCTTCCTTCTCCCGAGTCGGACACTTGGTCCATCTAGCTCACTATAGTCTACACTGACTGTCAAGCAGCTGTCCAGGCTTTCAGAAAGAGGACATTCCCGGCCCGGAGAGGCTGCTGGGGACTGAATTTGGGCCCTTCTGAATGCAAGGCAGATGCTCTCCTGCTGTGTGAAAGCCCTTGTCTAAATGAGCTCTGGGAATTCCTCAGAAATTCTCATCGTAGAAGCCCTGTTCAGGGATTATTCCTGAATAGGGAATGTAAGCACAGGTAGGGGAGATTAAAGGCATGCATGGCAGAACTGCCACCAGCATGCCTGTGTGGAATGACCTCTATGTGCTCCACACCGGCCTCCCCCAATATTCCGTAACTCAAGTTTGCATTCCCTATTATGGCACAGCACCTGCAGTGTGGTACAGCATAGTGACCAGATAGGAAGCCTGTGGCTCTCCAGGCAGTGCAGGACTCCAACTCCCAAGAGTCCCAGCCAGCATAACCAATGGTGAGTGGCAATGGGAGTTTGAGTCCAATAGCATCTGGGGGACAACAGTTTCCTCATCCTTGGACCAAAGTTGCAGAGAACCAAGTTCTAATATTCCTCCGCCCACAAAGCTCACTGTGCGACCCTGGTCCAGCCCAACATCTCTCAGACTAACCTGGCTCTGTGCAAAAATAAAAAAAGTGGACTGAACTCCCTGGAGGAAAGTGGGGATATAAGCTTAAAAAATGGTAGTCAATATGGTACCCTCCAGATGTTGTATGACTACAACTCCCATCATCCCTAGCCATTGGCCTCGTTTGTTGGGGCTGATGGGAAATGTAGGCTGACAGCATCTGGAGGGCACCATGTTGACTACCCATAGTTTAAAATAATTATCCCAGTTCCCTTTTGCAGAACAGATTCCCTAGGTCAAGAGAACACTCATTAAGCCTGTTTAAGACCAACATTCATATACCCATGCCCCTTAAAAAAACTTTGATCCCCTTCACTTCAGAAGCAGTTTCTAGTGTTGCTTCTTTGATGGAAGCAACTGCCGTTCAAAATGGACGCTGTTTCTCCCTCTTCTCCTGCTCTCTGAAGGCCCAGTTCCTACAGCCAGAAGAGGGGATAAGTGAATCCAATACGTTCTAGACTCAATGCAGCCAGTATTTGGTGTTCCTCCATCTTGTCACCAGCACACTGTCGAACATGGCTTAGTTCACACTGTATAGCTAAGAAACACAAAGAAAATGAACATTTATTTTGATTGTACATCACTTGATGACATCTGTGTCAGGGCGACCTCATCCAATGATTTATTTGTTTTTTTTAACACGATCTCTCTTCGTAAGCGATGTGAAGTCTCAGATTTAAATAAAGGATCATTGCCAAAGCAAAATACGTACTTTTTAGACTAGTTTTGGCTCCAAATCCCCAGGGCTGTATGAACCTGCTATTAATTTAATATCATGTTATTGTGATATTGTAAACAAATATTTGTCACTGCTTCCTTTGATTAAAAGGGAAAACATTGTGCCATTTGATTAGTGCTATTACAGTAGCCTATCAGGTAGAAATTTCTTTCTTTCTTTCTTTCTTTCTTTCTTTGTTTCTTTCTTTCTTTCTTTCTTTCTTTCAAAATGTGATGACTTAATCCAATGTGGACTTCCCATTGGTATGAAACAACGGATTCCTCATGGATGTGAACCCCTAAATAGTTTTAACATTATTATTAGTATTAGTATTAGTATTATTACTACTACTACTACTACACTGTGTTTTGTTTTTAGATGGTTGGATTTTCCTTTTGTTTTGGGATTTCTTTAAGCATTTGAAAGTTCCATAGCAAAATAGCCACAGGAATTTGTGACAGGCAGAAGAGGAGCTGATTCTGCAAGCAAGGCAGGAAAGGGGGCTTCCTTGTCATTTCAGGGCACCCTTGCCCAACCGAGTGCCTTCTGGGTGTTTTGGGCTACAACTCCCACCAGCCCCATCCAGAAGGTCTGTGTTGCATGGGACTGATGGATATTTTAATCCAAAAACATCTTTGGGCAATGGGTTGGGCAAGCCTGTTTAGGAGTATGGTGAATTCTGCTAAAAGCAGTCGTCTTGTCTCTTTATCAACTTCCACTTTCCAATTCGAATAGCCAGCAAATTGACAACTGTGTTCACCAAACCACTGACAAAGTCCAAAACACCTAATGCATCCGTGATGCTGCATCTTAGAGCATCCTCTTCTGCTTCGGATGTGATGCACATGAAACTTTTTGCCTGTTCGGTAGAGTCTTCAGCTACATATTCAGGGGCTCCTTTCATTGAAGTGAAGGGACATTCCTTTGCAGCTGAAACATTTTGATCTTTCAATTATTATTTGAGGGGGGAGACAGCTTTGAAAATTAGGGAATCTTCAAATGACCAGTATTTTTAAAAAGAAAATTGTTTCTGCAAAGGAAAGAACACTACAGCTCCCATTTTATTTGGAAGAAAACACGATGCCAATGTGCAAGTCCGATTTTATGCCCTAATGAAGTCCCCCTGTGGATCCATTAGTACAAATAGAGCCCTTCTAACCTTGGTCTGGGGACGCGGGTGGCGCTGTGGGTTAAACCACAGAGCCTAGGACTTGTCGATCAGAAGGTCGCAGTTCGAATCCCCGTGACGAGGTGAGCTCCCGTTGCTCGGTCCCTGCTCCTGCCCACCTAGCAGTTTGAAAGCATGTCAAAGTGCAAGTAGATCAATAGGTACCACGCCGGCAGGAAGGTAAACGGCGTTTACGTGCACTGCTCTGGTTCACCAGAAGCAGCTTAGTCATGCTGGCCACATGACCCGGAAGCTGTACACCGGCTCCCTCAACCAATAAAGCAAGATGAGCGCCGCAACCCCAGAGTCGGTCACGACTGGACCTAATGGTCAGGGGTCCCTTTACCTTTACCTTTAACCTTGGTCTGCCTTCAGGTAGCTTCCCCCTCCCCACCTGACTCTTTACTTACAAGTACTCTGCCTGCTGTTGGCTCTGGCTCCCCCTACTGTTGGTCTCCACACCTTTCACCCAATAAGCACCACTGTCCCTGTTCATGCAGATGTGGGGCCCTGATCTATGGCAAGCCTGCTCATTTGGCCGCACTTCCCTAGCTGCGGCGAGAGGAAACTGCAGAGAGAAACTCAAGATAGTGTGTCACATGTTCATGCAAAGCCCCCAGTTCAAATCTCACCTTGGCCGCACATTTCTATGGCCTTACGCAAGCCAATGAGATGGATAACATTGTCCCACTTTATAGGGGTATTGCAAGGAGTCCTGGGACAATGTGTGTGTGAAGTGCATTTGAACACTTGAAATGCCCTATATGAATGCTCTTGTTACTATAATTACTCATAATTCTCTAGAGCACTTTTGCAGTCGTTTTCTGTAAGGCATTCGAATGACTCTTGAGTATTAGCATTCGAATTCACAGGAGACACTTGGCTACCTTGGGGAGAAAAGGCAGGAGGGGAATCCACTTTGGCCACAACCCACAAGCAATCCATTATACACAACCCCCTTTTGAAAAGAATGGGAGATTTGTGCTCTTGCAAACCTCTCACTTGCTTCAAAGGGGCAGATTATGGGCACTGGCTCCAATCCATCAGAAATTCTGCCATTACCAAGCCTCATGAAAACAACAAGTTAACCACGAGTGACTTTTACTTAGACTGGGGCCTACGGTCCTTAGTTCAACGGGGCGTAATTTGTCAACGGACGTTGCAATGTGGTTGTTTCATAATACCCAGGTTGAAAGTCTTTTCTTTGCCATCTTTTTTGCTTTCTTTCCTTAAAAGTGCTGGAATGTATTCTAAAAACTGCCCTGGAAGATTTGAAATAGTCTGTAAAGATGTGTATCTTAAGACAGCAATAATAAGAGTCATAAGGAACAACAACAAAGAGATCAAGATGTCATCCTCTATGTAGGCCTGGTGTGTGTGTGCGCGCTGATTTTTAAGTCAACGGGTTTCCATAAATCTGGTGTGCAGACAGCCACCCGAAGCACTTCTCAAGTGGAGTTTTTCAGTTTGTTCTGTGACACGTTTATTGTGTCCACCCCTGTTTCTGAGAGCTCAATGTAGTTGCAATTCAGTATGGCATTCACAGGGTTTTGGGTTTATTTTTAAGAGCTTTTAAAGGGGCAGACATCCATAATGTGCTGCATTTGCTGGTGGTATTTCCCCCCTTCTTTTGGCGCACCCTTCATTCTATTGTTGCATTCAGTGTCTAGGATGATTTCAGAAAGCAAACATGTTTACAAGTCTCCTTCAATTTCATTGTTGATTTTTCCTTCTTCTCCCTGGTGCAAATGTTTCAGTGTTTGTGGGGATGCTGGAATAGCCTTCCTCATCTGTGTCCTCTTAATAGCATTGCTTACACTGACTGGCAGAAGCTCTGCATGGTTTCAGGAATGGAGTTCCTGGAGGTGCCAGGGACTGAACTCTACAGCCCTTCCATAGAGCCAGCAACAAAAATTTTCCTTTAAATGCACTTGGAGGAAGATCCATCCCACATCACCAATGGAAAAACCTTCAGCCCTGCCTCATCTTCCCAGGTGTGGAGGAAAACGTGATCTGATGTTAAGAAGCACACCAGCTGTTTCCCTGCATTGCTTTGAAGAGGAGGGGCTTGAAGTATTTTGAGATTTGGAGCGAAAGGATCTGGGAGGCTTTAAAGAAAAGAATTGCACACATAGGACTTTAGTTGGTGGTCACAACCAGCATCTCTTTGGCCAGGCATAGGCAAACTCGGCCCTCCAGATGTTTTGGGACCACAGTTTCCATCATCCCTGACCACTGGTCCTGTTAGCTAGGGATCATGGAAGTTGTAATCCCAAAGCTTCTGGAGGGCCGAGTTTGCCTATGCCTGTCTTTGGCAATGTATCCGCCTGCTGTGGGTGAGGAACACACAGGGGTTTCCTCCATTTGGCGGGGGGGGCAGTGTTACTGTTTTAATAAGTGGGGAGGTATAATGTTAGGGAACAAAACTGGTTTTATTTTTAATGAAATATTCTCTTAAGATCAGAGTATTTCAGCTCAGAGACCCCACAGTTTGAAGGGCTTACTGATTTATTGCAGAATCCTACACATTCCTACTTAGAGGTCCCACTCAGGCCAGTGGGGCTTACTCCCAGGGAAGTGGTATAGGACTAGCCTTAGACTGGGTATGGACAGCAAAGGCATCTGGGTTGTTGCTAAAACATGTGGCTGCTGGGATAGCTCAGTTGGTAGAGCACACAACTCTTAATCTCAGGGCTGTGGGTTCGAGCCCCACATTGGGCGAAAGATTCCCGCATTGCAGGGAATTGGTTGAGATGACCCCTTCCAATGCTACAATTCTATGATTCTAGGCTTTTTTGCAAAACATCTCTGAATGGGCACAAAGCCGAGGGATCTCTAGCAGCAACGGAAAGATTAAAATCAGGCCAAAAGGTGTGTGGATGTATGAGAGTGATGGGGGGGGGTAGACTCGCTCCCATTGCCTATATATTTCACTCAACTCTTTGATAAAGATACAAGAAGACCCCAGCTGTACCAAAGCCACCCACCACTGTGCAGCCCCTTTATTAGGACCAACCAAAATTTCAGAAAAGTGAGCGCACTTTCCAGTCCTCCCGGGTCCTTCATCAAGCTAGATGTTACACAAAGAAGTAACAAAAATAAAGATAATGTTACAGCCAGAAAACCAGCATTTAGGCTCAGTCCAAGATGGAGATTGCAAATTGAGTTAGTCTCTGTTAGGTCCTGAGGGCATCAGGTTGCACCTAGAATTCCAAAATACATTTGTCTGGCCATCAACAAGCAAGCCAAGTAAAAAGCCAAGCCAAGCACAGGAAGCATTGGTTGTAGATCTACATCAGCCTACAATATCTACATCAATCTGGTGCCAGCTGGGGCTGATGAAAGTCCAAAACATCTGGAGGGTACCAGGCTGGGGAAGAATGATCTAGACGAGCATTTCCCAAACTTGGGTCTCCAGCTGTTCTTGGATTACAACGACCATCATCCCTAGCTAGCAGGACCAGGTCAGGGATGATGGGACTTGTAGTCCGAAAACAGCTGGAGACCCGAGTTTGGGAAGCCCCGGTCTAGACAATCCACATGACTGTGGCTTGCATTTGCAACATGGAAACCTGGCCACAGGGAAACAATGGTCTGGTAGGAGCTGTCCTGTTTGCTTATCAGACTTTGACATTCTCTCTCTCTTAGGGAGCTTGTCTGGCACCTTCCCCCAAAAGCCTGGACCGCTTACCATGCATGTTAATGTTGATATCATAAAGGCAAATAAAATACTTTCTGTTTCAGCCCTCTTCAGGAATAACTGTGACTTGCAAAGCACTTCTCTGCCCTTTCTAATCTCCATTTCTTGCTCTTTGAAATCCCACTGAACTTACGATTGTTAGCGCTGTATTTTTTAAAAAAGGGGGAGGAATAAAATCTAGATTTTTTGAAATTTTTTTGGTAGGGTGTTTTGTTTAGCCTGTGGTTACTTATACAGACAGACAAACACAAATTAGAATAAACT